CTCTTCAGCTCAAGGCTAGCGCTCTACCACTTGAGGCACAGCACCACTTCTGGCTTTTTTCTTTTTGCTTATGTGGTGCTGAGGAATTGAACCCAGGGCTTCATGCATGCAAGGCAAGCGCTCTACCACTGAGCCATCCTCCCAGCCCCTCTCTTAATATTTTCAAGCTTGTTTTCTTCATAGGCTTTTACTTTAAAGAGAACACTTTGGTGCTTCATTTTGAATATGCTTATCTGATCGTTGAGCCCATTAATTTTCATCCCAGGTTTTTTTAAATTTTAATTTTATTGTCAAGATGATATGCATAGGGGGTCCCAGGTTTAATGTACTGTTTAATACTTACTTGGAAGATTATAATCTGAGCATGAATCCCATTCTTGGTAGTTGTCCTGAGGTTGTAAAGAAGTGATTAAGATAGGAAAAACTGTATTTCTTTGTGCTTTGAATTTGAGAGTCTTCTCATGCATGGGGAAGTACTTGTCCCAATGGGGATATGTTAGTTCAAGTTGCTGTTGAATGAGTTAAGAATAAGTGCCATGAAATATCAATAAAGGCATTTCCACTTGGCAATCATGATGTGGATCACACTTCATAACTGAAGATGGATAATATAGATAAAATTTTATACTGGAGTTTGAACTCAGGGTCTCATGTTTGCTCAGAAGCCAGTCTTCTGTTGCATCAACATTTGTCCTTTTGCATACTGGTTATTTTTAGATTGGGTCTCACTTCCTGTTCTGTAGTGCCTATACTTCCCACAAAGGTAGGATGATAAGCATGTGCTATTTTTTGACAATCATGGGGCTTGAGCTCAGGATCTGGGCACTGTCCCTGAGCATTTTTGCGTAAGGCTAGTGCTCTATCATGTAAGCCACAGCTTCATGTCTGGCTTTTTTGGTGCTTTATTGTATATGTGAGTCTCATAGACTTTCCTGACTGGACAGGCTTTGAACTGTGATCCTCAGATCTCAGCTAGCTAGCATTACAGGCATGAGCTACTGGTACCTGGCTCTTTTGGGTTCTAATTATAATTTTAATGTGAAGAAATAAGTTCTATCTGTCTATCTGGAAGTAAAAACCATAGATCAGTATGCACATATTGAAAGGAAAACCATGCTATAAAAATGGTGAAGTTAATAGAATAGCTGAAGTATCGGGGCAATTTCTGTCTTCAATGTTGAATTTGGGGAGGATACTACTATGAAGATGAACATTAGGAAAACCTCCTATATTCTAGCTTATTTTGATAGAGTATTTTCATTGATGGCATTTTTTGCTTTTCATATAATGAACTACCATTTTGTAAGTTATTTGTATTTGCTTGATATGGTGTGAAGGGCTTAATATCTATTATTTCATTTAGTCCTTAGAATAATTTGCAAAGTAATGTACATATGACTCCAAATTTTAAAGATAAGAGAAGCTAAATTATATACCTACAAAAGTAGGTATATAATATATATATATTATAATATATATATATATATATAATACATATATATATAATATAGGACAGCCAAATTTGGCTGTCCTATAAATATACTTAAGAATTAGATTCATTCTTTCACTTTCTTTCTCCACGTGTGTGTGTGTGTGTGTGTGTGTGTGTGTGTGTGTGTGTGTCTTGAATTCAGGTAGGGCCTCCTGCTATTGCTAGGCTTTTTGCTCATGGCTGGTGTTCTAGCACTTAAGCCATACCTTAGTACTGAATTTTGCTGGTTAATTAGAGATAGAATCTTTTGGCTTTTTCTGCTAGGGCTGTCATTGAATCTCAATCCTCACATTTCAGTTTCCTGAGTAATTAGGATTACAAAGGCAAGCCACTGGCATGGAGCAAGCCATTATTTTTTTCAAGGGAATGTAGAGCTTTATTCAGATCTTCTCTCTGTTCAATATATTGGTTGAGGACTTCAATACATTAGTTGCAAACTTTTTCCTCCAACTGTTCTCAAACTGTGATCCCCTGAACTCTGTCTTCCAAATAGACAGGATTAGAGGCTTGAGGACCTTTTGCCATGCAGTATCAAGATTCTTTAATGATAGCTTCATGGTGTTTACAGTATTGCATATTTTATTAACAATTTTAAGATAGTGGTTTCCTATGAAATTCTTTAGTTATAAATAGGTCTTTCTGGATCTAGTATTGTTTGCATCATACAAACCAAACAAATGATTTGAGGTCAAATAGCTCTGTTTACTTGAGTAATCCATGACAGAGCAGAGTCAACACCATTGAGTAAATTTTACAGTTTTGTTAGTACAATACTTGGAGAGAAATGTATAGTCTGATTTTGAATAATCTCTTGGGGTTCCAAGGTGGTTTCACATTTTATTTCTGTTTATGTTTTCAGAAATAGCACTAAAACTACATGGAATATTAATAGACGATAACAAGGCCAATAGAATATAAGATGTTGTACTCTAATATATGATGAACAGGCCAAAACAGAATTTAAGACTAATTGCATTAGTTTAGTAAAAGTCAGGCACAATTGCATCTGCAAAGTCATTGGAACAATGAAGCTGATAAAATTTCTCTGTATTGTCAATAGCCAGATTTTAGGCCTATTTACAAATATGAGTTCAGAAAGAGCAAAATATTTACTCTGGGAGGGGTTGAGATGGTAACACCTGAAATACCACAGCCCAAACATGCAAACAATGGATCATTACCATCTTACAGATTCAAACATCTAATCAAATTATTTAATGATGGGGTGTTCACTCAGTGCACTTTATATATAAATAAATTAATGTACGATTTGCAATTAACACTTAAAGTATCATCTTGTTTTAATTCAAATGTGTGATACCATCATCTCTTCTAGGTTAAAATATTCAAGCTAGCATGATATTTATTCTGAATCACTTGTTTCTCTAAATTTTTGTTGCATCATTTCTTCTTTCCTCCCTAGTGTCAAGTGGATATGAAAATACAGGGAAAATGCAACAAAATTATATTTTCAAGACTAGAAAACTAAAATCAACTATTCCTATTTTTTACTTAGTACTGTATAAAATTCCATTCTAATCTTCAAGACAATAGTCATTTAGTCTAACTGCTTGTTTGACTATTTTCTATGGTTTAATAAATATCAGACACTGAGTAAAAATATATTCAAGAATCATTTCCCTTGAACCAAGGATTGATTTGTCATTGATTGCAAACTTGATCCTTCTACTACAAACCATTTCATCAGTATATCTTGATTGAATTAATGAAACCAAATTGCTTATGTGGAAAGACCAAATAGTACAGATATTTCCATGGTGACTTTAATTAATGATAATAGAATTCTAAAAGATTACTTCTGTAATATCATTGACTCTTATTTTGAAATCTTTTTTAAAAAATTGGTTGTCGAGCTTGAACTCTGGACCTGGATGCTGTCCCTGAGCATTTCAGCTCAGGGTGAGTGTTCTACCACTTGGGTCACATCACCACTTCTGGCTTTCTGGTGGTTTATTGGAGATAAGAGTCTCATGGACTTTCCTACTTTCTCAGATCTCAGCCTCTTGAGTAGCTCGGAATATTTAGATGTGAGGCACTGGCGCCCAGCTACATTTTGAACTCTTATACTATTAACAATGCAACTAATGTGAGAAATCACATTAATCACATCAATGAAAAATTCATCTTTATCAGATTTTTCCTATTTTTTGTTTTCTATGACAAAATTCGAAGGCTTTTCTGATTGCTTTCTTGTTTTTAAATGGACATAAAGTCACTTGTAATTGAATGCAATAGCAAATCAGAAGAACATAGATATGATATAGTGCACTATATACTTCAATATAAGTAAAAGAGAGTTTTTTGCATTTTCATGTCAAAGAAATGATAAATATTTAAAGTTCTGGATATGTTAATAACCCTGATTTGAGCATGACACAATAGATATATGTGTTGAAACACTGAATTGTACCCCATATATATTTATACTAGTATTATTGGTCATCTTCAAGAAGTTAAGAGTTTTGAGAAGGTTCATTAACATGGATAAGAACATAGCATGTAGAACATGAAGTCTAGGCCTGTAGCTCAGTGATAGAAGACTTACTGAATATACACAAGGCTCCAGGTTCAGCAAAAAACACTCCCCCCCACCACTGTCAAATGCATTTTCTTTTCCCCTGAGCTTCCTAGCAGCCTAAGTAAAAAGGAAGGCTGGACTTAAGGGAATTCAAATTTGATATTTTTATATGCGGGACAAAGGCTTTCAGGAAATGGTTATCCTAGTTTTAACATGATATTTAAAAAAACATTTTTCCCTCTAAATATTTAGGGGAGCAAAAGAAAAATTAACTCAATGAAACAGAAACAATGTTTAAAATATGTTAGCCAAGAAATAAAGAGCCATTTCCATATGTATTTGGTGTGAATGTAACTTAAACTCTGAATATTTCATGAATAAGAATTTTGGAATTATTTACGGAAAAACGTTTACGAAATAGTGGGTGAAATGGAAAGTACTCACAATTTCAGGCACCAGGTGTCGCTCTTTACTTGAGGGAAAGAGTTCGGCCATAGCTTGGGCTGCACAGTCCGGCATTCAGCATAAGCTGAACGCTGTAAAAGGATCCTTTGAACCTTCTCAAAAATTCAGCGCGACATTAAACCTGAACTGAAGTCTCTGGTACTGTAAGTGTAAAGAATTTTTATTTTAGAAGCCAATTTCATATGCAATGGTAGGCTTTCAGAGAAGGGGATTGGGTACTCTGCGACTTCTGCTCTCGCTTCTGCTCCTGGCATACTGGGAGACCGGGAGCGGCCAGCTCCATTACTCCGTCCCCGAGGAGGCCAAACACGGCACCTTCGTGGGCCGCATCGCGCAGGACCTGGGGCTGGAGCTGACGGAGCTGGTGCCGCGCCTGTTCCGGGTGGCG